ACATTCTGTTACGTATGGTCTGGAGTGAGTGAAAACCTGATGATAGGTTATAGAGGCTTTAATCAAATAAAACTTATTTAGTAATATAGTTTGAAAGCAAGCATGCAAGCACTGGTCTTAAAGTGTAATGGTAGCCAGATCATTTTTTAAAATAAGGAATGTTTAATAGAAAAAATTATTGATGTTCAATCAAACAGTTTTTTTATTATCATTATTAACAGTGTGTGATAAGTTTCTAAAGTGCGTCACGCCTCAGTCAACATACTACTTATATGTCATGGTAGGATTTTAATAAAAATTGTTTTAGATAACTTATGTCTATGAAAATATGGTCATCAATTTTAAGGGAAAAAATCCTGATTATTAAAAATTAACACATCAGTAACAATTCCTTTCTTTTAGGAAATTTAATAATGATGTTTCTGGTTTTATTTTATTTTGAATGTGTATATTGTATAATGTTATCTGTTGTTCATACATCCTCATGTACTCATTTCTGTAGAAAGATTACTTATAACATCCAGCTGAACCATTTTAATAGACTTACTTGCACATTAGATGCTAGATTTTTTTTAATATAGATTGTACACACATATTACCATACACTTCATGATGTACCATTTATCAAGACATGCTTCAAGTTGTGTCATTTATATAAGTAGACTGCCCATGAATTAAAACACTCCTAGTCGATCCATTTATTTAGTGGACTTTTTATAAATTCACATATTCTCAATCAAACCAAACCTTTAGAAGGACTCCAAGTTAAGACAATATTCTAACCTGTCATTTATAATAATAAATTATTCTTAAACTACACCCTTCCTTCATTTTATCCCTGTTCTTGGTTTGAGCATAAATTAACACATACACATCCAAATCCTCTATTTTAAACTGCTTACAAAATAATACACATTCCCACTTGGGAATATTTTTACAATTAGTTAGTCACAAATTAAAACAGCTATGTGCTCAGGTCATTTCTACATGAACTGCTTACTTTCAGCTACAACTCTTGTAACAGTGTTATAGGTATGCTTTTCACAAGTTTATACACATCCCAGTCAGTCCATTTCTGTTGAAAGACTACTCATGAATTAAATTAACAGTTCAAGCCAAACTATTTTTATAGAATGACACTTACTGCTAAAGAAATTTTGCAAGTAAGCTATTGGAAGTTAACAGGAAAACAAAAATAACATCTGTAGATAATGAATTTCAACACATGGGCTAATTGTTAGGTATGAAAAACTTTCAGCTTAGTCATTTCAATAGATAAGTTTTTTAAAATAATAAAATTCTTTTGAAT